CGGGACTTTTGGGCTGTGGCTGCCCGCCTTTTCTGTTGCTCGCCTCGCCCCGCCTCGTGCCTACCTCTCCTCCTGCAAATGCAGCAGCGGTGGCGGCGGCGGCAACAGCAAGAGGTGGCGGGGCAGGACTTTTGGGCTGTGGCTGCCCGCCTTTTCTGTTGCTTGCCTCGCTCCGCCTCGCGCCTACCTCTCCTCCTGCAAATGCAGCAGCGGTGGCGGCGGCGGCAACAGCAGGAGGTGGCGGGGTGGGACTTTTGGGCTGCGGCTTCCCGCCTTTTCTGTTGCTCGCCTCGCCCCGCCTCACGCCTGCCTCTCCTCCTCCTCCTCGCTGGATCTTTCATGAAGGTTGGGGTGGGCGTTGGGCCGCATTACGAGGCGATCTGGGCCGCATGCGGCCCGTGGGCCGTGGGTTGGACAAGCCTGGTTTACACTGTAAGATATATCTGGTCTAGACCAATTACCCAGATATGATAGATTAAGGATTGATATATTTCCTTATCAAACATAGGACTTTTAATATCACTATGTGTAAATACCTTACTCATTGGTGTCTTAGCAGATTTACAATGTTCCATGTTATAGTATTTTAATAATTGGCTAATCTTCTTGGCTTGTGAACTTTTAAAACTTTTATTCGTTTTCACTATATCAAGACCCAAATAATGCTTAATTTCTCCTAAATTTCTAATCCTGAACTTTTTCTGTAATCTATAAACAATATCATTTGCTTCTTGTTCAGTTTTAGTTATAAATTGCTATGTCATCCATAAATAACAGCAATAGATAAATTAAACCATTTTTTTCTCCTCCATGCTGCATGGAGAGCCCAGGATGGGTTGACTCCTTCCTATGACGTTATTTAGCTGAGTCTGTACTAAGATATAAAAGCCAGCCCCCGGGAGAGATCCCAGCTTTTGACTCAGCTCCTTTCAGTCAGTAGCTGTGTCTCTGAAAGCGTTCTGTTAGATAGCACACACCAGCGATCTTCAGTACTTTTTCCTTGCTTCAAGCAGCTCCCAGGGATCTGGGCAGCTGCTCTTCCAGGAGAGCAGGGCTCTCTCTCCTGCAACGTTGGGAGCAGCGTTACCAGAGCTCTGTGCAGGCAAGCTGGGCAGCATCTGTAGACCTCCCGCACACCTGCGGTTTGGAGCGATTGTAAAAATGATCGGCAAACCGATAAGAGCACAAGCCAGCTGATCGTGTGGCCGGTTGCTGCGTTTTTCACTTGCTGACTTTACTTGGGGCTCTGTATAGCCTAAGGAGTGATTCTTTGATCTCGGAGCCTCTTTCCTCTAATCAGTGGCCATCTTGGATTGAAGCCTTCCACCATGAGGTGAGCGGCCATTTTGTAAGCCTGGGGGCCATTTTATACCCTAAGGCAGGGGTCCCCAACCGCCGGTCCGCGGACCGGTACCGGGCCGCGGAACAAGCCTTACCGGGCCGCTGGTTGCTGGGCGCCGCCATCTTTTTTTGGTAAAAAAAGCAATTTTTCGTCAAAAAAGATGGCGGCGCCCAGCTGACGCCGGAACCGGGCCGCGGCGCCCAGCTGACGCCGGAACCGGGCCGCGGCGTCGAAAAGGTTGGGGATCCCTGCCCTAAGGGGCTTAATAGAAAAAAATCCTAAAAGTTTCTTTCCAACGCAAGAGCCTTTATTCTACAAATGGGGCAAGATAAGGCTCAGGCAGAGCTCCCCCACCAGTGGAACAGTCTCTTCAGCCCAATAAGAGAAAAAGACATAGGCAACGCACCCAATCAGTCCAGAGGGAGGTGGCTGCTAAAATCAGAGCTAAGGCTCTAGCCCCTAAGAAGGCAACTCAGGCTGAGTTGAGGGCAGAGAAGCGCAGACATGCAGCCCTAGAGCGGCAGTTCAACAGAACTATTCAACAGAAGGGAGTGCATCTACAGCATGTTTCAGGTGATACTTGTGGGCCCCAGCCAAGCCCTCCCAGGGGAGGAGAAGTTATGAGCCTTTCCATCCTCCATCCTGGGCTCCTGAGGCTCTTGCAGTACAATCAGATCCTCAGGATCTAAGCAGATCTGGGCCTTATTTCCAATAGGCTTCTGGGCCCTATGCTCCTCCCCCTCCCTCGAACCTCTCCTCAACCTAGGCCTGAAGCCACCTTCACTCCCACAGCAGTGGGCTTTCAGCCTTCTGCCTCTACCTTTGAGGCCAGGGGATATCCAAGATGTTGTCTCATTGGCCATTAGGCAGGGATTGGCTGAAGGCTTCAAGCAAATTCTTCGACCTCTGGAAAGGGTTCAAGCCCTTCTCCCTTCTCAGTCGATAGGTTCCTTGCTTCCTCATCCTGATTTACACAGGACCCAGGACCTCAGGGTCCATTCTTCTCTATCAGAATGGGAGGAGGCTGATGAGGAAGGAGGGGCTTCACCATCTGAACACAGTTTCTCCTCTCGTTCAGAGTGTGAAGAGGGTGAGATTTTTGACCAAAATCTTTCAGAGGAAGAGGATTCTTGCCCAGAGTAGACATCCTCTGCATTGGTCTTACCTGCTCTCTTCAGGCCATTACTCAGCAAGGCCTTGGTCATTGCCAAGGTGTTGCCAGAAGAAGTGGCTCCCGAGCCACAAGGAAATCCCTCTAGCCAAGGGGATTTGCTCTTCTCCAAGCCTGTAGTGCATGCAGAGGCTTTGCCTTCTCCCATTTTGTTCCTGGACATGGTCAAGGAACAGTGCGCTTCCCCTTCAGCAGGTCCTCACCCATCTTCTCTGGATAAGCATTTCTACAATGTCAACGCAGCTCTGGACAATGCCCTGGCAGTGCCTTCTGTTGACATTCTGGTTCTGGCCTCATTCTCATCTTCTGGCACTCCCACGGAGCCAGAAGATATCCTGAAACCAGATGATAAACGTTCTGAACAGACCCTCAAGCGCTGCTTGGGCTGTTCGGGCTTCAACAGTAGCATCCTTTTTCACAAGGGTATCCATACGGTGGCTGCACCAACTCCAGAATAGATTGCCTGCTTCTGACCTTCGGTCTCACCAAGACCTTAATAAGATTATCGCAGTGGCGGAATTCACTGCAAATGCCACTCTCAATTCCACCAAATTTGCATCCAAGGCCATGGCATCTTCTGTAGCAGCAAGAAGACTTTTATGGCTCTGAAATTGGCAGGTGGAGTCACGCCAAAAATGGAAGCTGGCTTCAGTTCCATTCACAGGTGATAAGCTTTTTGGCGATGCTCTGGAACCTTATCTCATCAAAACCAGAGATAAACAAAATTCTCTCTTCCTCTGGGAAGAAAGCCGACTATCGTTCAGCTCCTTATCGCCCTCCTGCCTTCCGAGTGGAGACCTCATCTCGCTTCCCCCACTCTCAGAGGCCATACTCCCAACGCCAAGACCAACGGGCGGAAGCATCTGGCAGGCAACACCTTTCTACTGGTAAATGGCCCTTTCGGGGAGGAGGGAGTCGTTCCTTCCGTTGCTCTAAGTAATCCCTCGTTCTCCCCACCCATTGGAGGTTGCCTAGCCTTCTTTGCCTCCAAATGGGAGGAGTCAATGACAGACGCCTGGGTGCTCAGCACTATTAGGTCAGGGTTACAATTGGACTTCCTAACGCCACCCCCCCAAAATTTTTTGATCTGTCCTGTCTCTCGGGACATTTCAAGGCAAGCCCTCATAAATCAGGCCATTCAGCACCTTCTTGAAATCAGGGCTATTCAACCTGTTCCCCCCTCTCAACAGGGACGTGGGCTTTACTCTCACCTTTTCATCATTCCCAAAGCCTCAGGGGGGTGTGGCGAGCCATCCTTGATCTAAAATTTCTCAACCAATTTGTAAAATACAGGCGATTTAAAATGCAGACTCTGCATTCTATTTTAGAGAGCGTTTGGGAGGGTGACCTCCTCTCTTCCATTGATCTCACTGAGGCTTACCTCCACATCCCAATTTGACCTCATCATCGCCAGTTTCTCCGTTTCTTTTATCAGAATACCCATTACCAGTATCGAGCACTTCCCTTTGGCCTCTCATCGGCTCCAAGGGTCTTCACAAAGGTTCTGGCAGCATTGATGGCATCTCTGCATTCTATTCCAGTGAGGATCCAATGCTACTTGGACAACATTTAGATTCTGTCCTCTTCCATCCATGTGGCCCATCGGGATCTGCAAATTACCCTGTCATACCCCCAGAGCCACAGATTTTCCATCAACACCAAAAAGATCCAGCTCTCTCCCACAACCAAATTGCAACACTTGGGAGCAGTCATCGATACCATGTCGTGCCAGATTTTCCTGTCCCCAGTTCGTGGAAAGAGCCTTGCAGAGATCATCAGCCAGATCCAGCAACATCAAACTGTCCCCCTGTCATTGCTGTCCAAACTTCTGGGGAAGATGGTCTCCTGTATTGGCATCGTCTCATGGGCTCGGCTCCACTCCCGACCCCTCCAATGGTTCCTGCTTCCCTACCAATGAGCAGGAACCAGCCACTCATCCATCAAGGTCCCGCTCCCACCACAAATCCGGAGAACTCTCAATTGGTGGCGTTCCCCGTCAATCTGGAGGGGACTCCTGTTCAGGGACCCAGACAGGCTAGTGATAACCACCAATGCCAGCCTCCTGGGTTGGGGTTCCCATATGCAGGGCCAGATAGCTCAGAGCGTTTGATCCAGATCAGAGCAGACCCTTCCCATAAATTGGCTAGAGCTCAGAGCCATTTTTCTGGTTCTCAAGCATTTCAGGCAATCAGTGACTGGCTCTCATGTTCTAGTCCTTATGGACAACATGGCCGCAAAGGCTCATGTCAACCGGCAAGGGGGGGACGAGGTCCAAAGCCCTCATGAGATAGGCTCTACGTTTGGAGTTATGGGCAGAGAAACACCTTTTGTTGATCTCGGCGGACCACATCTCCAGGGTCGCCAACTCCCAGGCCAACTGGCTCAGCAGGAGCCTAGTCGACCAGGCAGAATGGTCCATTCCTCCATCTCTATTCAGGGACCTTTCCCTCAGATTTGGAACACCAGAAGTGGATCTCTTCTCCACTCCTCAAAACACCCAAGTCACCAGATTCTTTCCTTGCCAGGGAGCACAGGGGATCAATGCTCTTCAGTGCAGATGGCCCAAGGGTCTCCTCTATGCCTTTTCCCCGCTTCCCATCATTCTGGCAGTAATTCAGAAGATGTTGGAGGAACGAGTGGAGCTCCTCCTCCTGGCACCCTATTGGCCAAGGAGGCCCTGGTTTGCGGACCTGGTCGACCTATCGGTGGCTTCTCCTTGGAGGATCCCAGCACATCTAATCTCCCTTCACTGGGGGCCCTGCTCCACCCAGAGCCCCAGTGGTTCAAGCTGACCATGTGGCACTTGAGCGGCAGCGGCTAGAGGAGGCTGATCTTCCAGAAAGGGTCATCCTCACTATCCTGGCATCTTGCAAACCTTCTACAAGGTGCATCTATGATGCCACCTGGAAGGCTTTTTCCCAATGGTGCCTCAGGGAGGGTCTTTCTCCTGCTTCAGCCCCATTGGCAGAAGTTCTTAGCTTCCTTCAGCATGGGCTGGAGAAAGGTTTGGCCCCCAACACCTTATGCAGGCAGGTTGCGGCCCTCTCCTCGGTCCTTTCATGGGGTTCGCTTCCTTCCTCATCCCATCACCCTTCAGTCAGGAAGTTTTTGAAAGGGGCTTCCAACCTGCACCCTCTGGTGGTTCACAGGTATCCTTCCTGGGACCTTCATATGGTCCTTAATGCCCTTACAAAGCCCCCCTTTGAACCCCTTAGAACAGTGTCTCTCCGTTTCCTGACTCTGAAGGTAGTGTTCCTTGTTGCCATCACTTCTGCCAGGAGGGTTTCTGAGCTTGCTGCTCTTTCCATCAGACAGGACCTTTGTTCCTTTCATGATGATAGGGTTGTTCTCCGTCTGGACCCCTCATTTATTCCAAAGGTTAACACCTGGTTTCCCAGGTCCCAGGACATTGTTTTGCCTGACTTCTGTCCTCTCCCACACCATGACTTAGAGCGGCAGTGGCACACGCTAGACGTCAGAAGGGCTCTTATACATTAAGCACACGGAAGCCATGTTTGTTTCCTTTTTCCCTTCTCACTTGGGGCACAAGGCCTCTTCTACTATTAGCAGGTGGGTCAGGTCTTGTATTGAGCAGGCCTACAAAGCTGCGGCCCTTCCGGTTTCCCGAGGTCTGACAGCGCACTCTACCAGAAGCGTGGCCACTTCTGCTGCCTGGGCAACCCAAGCATCCTTAGAGGAGATTTGTCGTGCGGCCATGTGGACATCCCCATCTCCTTTCATCAGACACTACCTTCTGGATGCCTTTGCCTCGGCGACTGCAGCCTTCGGCAGACGGGTGCTTCAACAAGTCGTTCCACAGTTGGTGTGATGAGCTGGACGAGGACCCGCCCATGGACATGTAAGCTTTGGTATGTCCCATCCTGGGCTCTCAATGCAGCATGGAGGAGAATGGGCATTGGTAGAAGTGAACACCCTTTCTATCTATGCTGCAAGAGAGCCCAGCCCCTCCCTTGATTCGTCCAGAGAGGATAAGGCATATTTCTGTATTCATTTTGTGCTTTCAGAGACACCTTTCAGTCTGTCAAGTATCTTTGTCAAAGCTGGGGTCTCTCCCGGGGGCTGGCTTTTATATCTTAGTACAGACTCGGCTAAATGACATCATAGGAAGGAGTCAACACATCCTGGGCTCTCTTGCAGCATAGATAGAACGGGCGTTCACTTCTACCAATGCCCATTCTCTTTGGAACAAACAAGGATCAGCTATACCAGCTTCAAAACCTATTGAAACTAATTCCTTTGCAATACATTTATTCCATTCATAACTGGATTGCTTTAGATCATAAAGACTTTTCTTTAATTTCCAATAATCAGTTTTTCCATCATCCTTTAAACCTAATGGCTTTTTCATATAGATGGTATGTTGTAAAGGTGCATGTAGATATGCAGTTTCAACATCTACATGGTTTATTTTACATTTATTCTTAGCTGCCCAAACAAATGCTGCTCTCAATGTATTTGCTCTCAGACTAGGTGCAAACACTTCATCATAGTCCTTATCTGACTGAGCAAATCCTTGAGCAACTAATCTTGCTTTATGGGTAATAGTCCTATCCACACCAGTCTTTATCTTATACACCCATTTGCAACCTATTGCACTCTCACCTGGTGGTAACTTTACATCCTCATACACATCTAAATCCTTTAACGATTTTAACTCTCTATTCATCGCTTCCTGCCAAACTACCTGATCCTTTGTAGGATACAGTTTTATTTCATTGAAGTTAGAAGGTTCTGTATTAACCTGACATACAATGCTTGCTTGAAATCTGTCAGGTGGACGTCTCTCCCTAGTTGACCTCCTAGGCAACTCAGTACATGTTGTTGGCATGTCCTCTTCCTTTACCTCCCCTATCAAATCCTCGTCTTCTACAGTCATAGAGGGTTCTTCTATTGATGATTCCTCCATTGAGGATTCCTCCACTATCTTATCATCAATATTATTATCACCAGGATTATTGGTAAACAATGGAGTCTCAACAACAACGCTATCCTGTACCTTATTATATTCCTGTTCAAGCTTTCTCCAGCCAACATGCTCCAGAAATTTAGCACTTGCACTGCAATATACATTAGTAGTACCTGGCTCCCAAAATCTAAATGATCTATGATTAGCTTCATAACCTACAAAATACAATTGTCTCGCTCTAACAGCCTTCCAGTTATGCCAGTCAATATAAGTTCATCTCTGTTTAAAACTTCCAGTGAAGACACATAATCATCATAAGTTTCATCCAAAGAAGAAAGAATGATGTAAACTTGATGCAACTCCAAGAAAATCAGCTCCTTTTCTTGTAGCTCTTGTAAAGTCCTTTTCATAAACTCCAAATGAGCTAACATATCACCACCTTTTATAAGACGGGCTCTAAACAGTTTACGTGTAAGGTGTATGTGTGCACCCACACTATCTCGAACATAAATCTTCAAAATGTCCCAACACCTAGTAGCAGATTCTTCACCACGAATATGGACTAGCTGCTGATCACTCAGTGTCAGTCCAATTATACTAAGAGCCTTTTCATTATCCCAGTTAAAGTCAGCTATTTTCTTTTTATCTTCATCATTCAGTGGGTCCCAAGCTGTTACATCCGGTGGACTATTAACTACAGCCCATAATCCATCTTTATGCAGAAGTAGGCTGCACTTCATAGACCAGGAAACATAGTTTGTTCCATCCAACCGGGTTATCTGGGATACACTGGTTGACTGTTCTTGTGCCATTGGTAGTTTAACAATAAACTGCAAACAGCTGTCTGAATATGAAACTGTATATTCACACTGATTCTCAATATCTCTCTGGGCCCATAACCAATGTTATGATATGTACAGGATAACCCTTGAGTAACAAGGATATGCACATGGAAATGTTTATGAGAGTAGTTATGAATAATTATTCAGCCACACACAGATACACTAAATTGAGTTAAAATTTACTTTAAGAAATAGCACAGTCCAATAAACGGTCCAGGTCATATAGGTTTAACAGTCCAAAGAATATCCAATTACAAAATCTTCTTACCAGTTACCTTTGTCATTTACAGTAAACAAAGATATCAAAGTATAAGCACAGCATAAATACAACAGAGAACCTTAGATAGCAACAGAATGTCAGAAAGACAGAATGTCAGAGAGAGCAAGCTATAATCTCTAGCTCCCTCTTATGGTAACTTGCAATATAATCAACCAATTGGAATATAGTATAAATCAATACAGTGCTTTTGTCTTAAAGCTACAAACATACATTGTTGGTTTATATATTGCCAACCCAACTAATTGGTGGACAGATTGCTAACAAGTTTCCTGAACATTTGTTTCCTTTCAGATGGCGAATTAAGTCCATTTATATTGAGCAATAGAAGGGTGATCCCTCCATCAATTTTATTGTTGGTACTCTACTACTCTTGTTCTCAATTCTCTCCTCAATCGTTTGTTTTCTTCCTCTTCCTGTTGTTTCTGTTCTGTTCCTTCTCTTTCTATTTCCTTGTCTTCTACTGTAGTCTCCTCTAGGCTTCTACTTTCTGTGTCTTCCTTGCTTTCTTGTTCTTCCTCCATTCTCACATATCATCTATAGAATTCATGTGCCTTGTCAATGAAATTAATTTTAAATTTCTTCTCTCTCCACGATATCAGTAATCCTGGAGTTAGCCATCTGAATAGTATGTTGTTTTCAATCAACTGCATTGAGAGGAATTGATAGTTCCTCCTCTGTTCTCTCACCCTCCTTGGAATCTGTTTTAAGGTCACCACTTCATGACCTTTGTATATTAGTGGCTTATCCCTTGTTCGTCCATACAGCATATCGCTAGTAGTTCTCTTCACAAAGCATACTTGTACCTCCCTTGGTAGCTTATGTCTACGTGCATAATGTGTTTGTACCCAGTAGACCTCGTCCAAATCATTCATAATCTCCATCTTGTCTTTCTGGAGGGCTTCCGCAATTAGCTCTGTCATTAGAGGTCGTAGATCTTCTTTCCTTTCCTCTACAATATTTTGGAATCTAAGGAAGAATGCTGCCTTTTCTAATTCTAGATGGACCACTGCCTCTTGAAGTTCACAATAAAGGACTTTCCAGTTTTGTTCAATGTCTTCAAGTTTCTTTTCTACATTCTCCATTCTAAGTTCCTGATTCATCAGTTTCTGTTCATTTCTTGCTACTGTCTCTTGGATTGTTCCGAATTTATCACCCAATTTCTGAATGTCTGCTTTCACTTCTGCAATATCATTTTTCATCTCACTTTTCAGTTCTTCATGGTTTCTGGCTATAAGTTCTTGTGTTCTTACCATCATTTCTTGCATCAATGTAAGGATGACTGTACTGCTTGTAATGTTGGAGTAGGTGTTGATTTTTTCTGCTCCCAACATTGTATCTAAGGATCTTTGTCCTGCAGGCAAAGGTATACTCGTCGTCATCTTCCTTGCGATTTTCATTGTTGTTGTTGTTGTTGTTGTTGTTGTTGTTGTTGTTGTTGTTGTTGTCATTCTCAGGACACTCAGAAGGTCTTTCCAATCTACCATTCACAGATATATTTAAGAGCTGCTTCTTCGTTTCTACTTTCTTCTGGGTTCTATCTTCTTGGTTCACTCTTTCTTCAGTATATAGCTTAGAGAGAGCTATGTAAATTTGCGATAATCAACAACAAATACTGGATGGAAGAAGGTGGAGCCTCCTCGCCGACAGACCATAGATCGCGACTCTCTGCGGCTATGGTCCATGCGCTTTCGTTGGAGAGCCCCAATCATTACAATTAGGGGCTGAAGCTGCCTTGGAGGGGCGGCAGAGTAAGGGGAAGCCACAAGCCAGGTTGAGGGGAGCCGCATCTCCCCCCCTGGGCTTGGTCTTTTTCCCCTCGAAGACGACTGCAGCGGTGGTTTAAAATGGCCACCCCGAAGAGGAGGACTCAGCTGGATTAAGATTTGTGCAGGAGGGAAGAAAGAGGTGGATAACATCTGAACCGGGACAACTGGGCAATACAACTAAACAAAAGTACCCCAGGATTAAGGTAACATGGAATTTTTAAGAAAAGAAAAGTGAGCAGCGAAATTACAAAGGAACAGGAAAAAAAAAAAGAAAATATTTTTGACAGCTAAGCTAGAACTAAAGATTTAATTAAATTGGGCTAAAATATTTTGGGAATAAACAGGCATAAAATAAAGCTGTACTTAAAATTGTCAAATAATAATAATAATAAAGTTTACAAATTGGAGACTGGACTGTGCTGGAATATTGAGGTTCGAAAAATCCTAAATAAAAAAAAAATAGGGGAAAAAGGTGAAGACTTTGTATAATGGAGAGTGCCACCTTTTGACAAAAAGAGAAAGCATCCTGTTTCTGAATGAACTTGTGTGGATATAACATTAAAGAAATATTGAAACAAAGTAAGAATCTTAGAAAGTGAAAGCAGAACCAGAATAAAGAAAAAAGCAAGGGAAGACTGACTGATGTTTTTGGTATAGACCCTGGGCTGGAATAATTGAGAACTTTAGAAAATTGAAAGAAGAAAGAAGGAAAGTAAAAGTGGTTTTTTTGTGGACTTTAATGATCAAAAAATATAAGAGTGTGTAATGATGATATCTCTTCAGGAATTAAAAATGGAACTTAAAAATATGAGAGAATTACTACAGGAAAGAGGCGAATCACTTTGCTCTGTGTTAGAAAAAATGGAAATGGCGATTGAAGAACAAGAAGAAAGAGCTTCAGAGGAGGAGGAGTTGACTCAAGGAGAAGACATCTTAAATAGACAATTAACACAAAGAACGCTACAAAGAAGTGAGGAAAGAAGGAAGGCTAAAAAGTTGAGACTTAAGAAGGCAATCAAAAGGGGAAATACCTGTGAAGTCAGGAAAGGCAGAAAGACCCAGCAGAAAAGGGGAAAGGAAGATATTAAGAAAGAGAGGGATATAAACTGGAATGAGAAAAGATATGGTGAAAAGAGGGGGAGGAGAAGCAGTAAGAAACAGGTGCATGAAATAAAGAAATACGGAAATAGTAAAATGTTGAAAAGAAATTGTTTTTTCAGAAATAATGGTTGATGAATTAAAAAGGGGATTCTGCAGATAGACTTCCGGTGGCAGGACAGGGATGTGCAGAGGTGGAGAAGACCAGCTGTGGTTTTCGAATACCTTTCCTTGTGTCTGGAGCGATCCCCAGAGGATACAGGAACCCCGAAGAGATTCGTGTCAGCGTAGGGGATTCTCAGGTTGCAGTGTGGGGGAAGGCAACCTCCTGGCAACGAAGGGAAGAGCCCCTGAGCCCAGCGTGAAAGAGCCAGCTGCCAGTTTATGGTGGCTCCAAAGTCCAGTCTGCCACCGACGTGACTAAGCGAGAAAGTGACAGCCGGTAAGATCAGAGTAGAAAGAGGTGCTGAAAGACTATATTATTGAAGAGTGAGATTGGCGTGAGATTTCTTTTCCTGGATGTGAGCAGTATTTTTTGAAAGCCGGTGAGAAAAGCAGCCAGAAAAGCGGCTTGAAAAGTGAAAGTGTGATAAGTGTGGGTGGAAAGGCTTGATTGTTAGAGCAAAAGTGTGGATTACAGTGTCTGAAAGGAGAAACTTGTGGAGAGAAGAAGAATACTGGAAAACTAAGAGATTGGAGGACTTGAGCTTGTGAGTGGTTTGCTATTTGGGATTAGTTTCTTGATAAAATTTGAAGAGGAAGGAGGCGACGGAGGAGAAAGAAACGCGGCACTGAAAGTGATTCATTGACTCTTTGAACTGAGCGTTACAGGATTACAGACTTTATTTGACATTGTTTGTGGGACAGACTGCTAAGGGAGGAGAACACTATCGGATTGAGGTGAAAGCAATAAGCGAAGGAGACTTGGACATTGGACTTAAAAGTGTGGGGAAAAGGAAAAAGGAAAAAAAAAGGAAGAAGAAAGAGACTAACTGAAGGCTGGGAAAGATCGACTGCTGACAGCGATTAGTCAGCACTTTTCATCATCCTCCTTCCGGTGTGCCGGAAAAGAAATATAAAAACTCAAAATCTTTAGCCTTAAGTTTGACCGCAAAATTCTATTTCTTCACCACACTATTCTATCTTCTTGAATCCCTCCTGAGCATTATTTCTATATTATTATTTCTGCAATATTTCTATAAACTTAATTTCTTGTCTTCTGCTTATTGACTTCCTGAAGTTAAGGTAAATTTTCCTCTCTTTCCATTCTCTCTCTTCTTTTCTCTTTTTTCTTTTTCTCTTAACAACATTCATAAATTTATTTACTTAGAAAAGGTATACTGATTTTACAGATTTTAGTGCCAATTGATTTGATTGCTTTGAATAATTAACAACAACAAAGATTGTAAAATATTGTTGATTTAGAATACTTAGAATATTTAACATTAATTTAATATTAATTTATAGCATAAGATAAAGGTTTATAGGGATTTAGAAATCTTAGAAATGTTTTAAAATGGTATCTGGGTTGGATTTGATATATTATTTGTTATAAACATTTATATTTGGCATATAAACTTATCATAAAGAATATTATATAGTATCGGATAGCGCTCTATAATACGGGAATATAGATTGCCCAACTATATACCTGACTGAAGTAATAGAACAGAATCCTTACTTTAGGAGCAACAACACTGAATGGTGATTTGGGACAATATAAGTAACATAGTTCAACAGCAAAAACAAATTTTAAAAGAGATGACCTCCACGACAACTACGGCCCTGAAAACAGGAAGGAAGACTACCCCGACCCTAACGACCACCTTGACATCAGCCTCACCAACAATCCAAAAAACTATTGAAGAATCTCTAACAGGAGACAAACAACCTAACATCTCTAATGCCACCCTACTATCTTTGCAAGAATCAATGTCCAAAATGCAAGAAATAATGATTAAGAACCATAATGAAACCAGAACGGACATTAGCGAATTAAAGGAAGAGATGGCGAGGCTCAAAGCGGAAATGAAAGCAGATATACTTAAGGTGGAAGATAAGATAAGGACATTGCAGCAGGCTATGGAAAAAAATGAAGTAAAGATAAAAGAAATAGAGACAAGGACAGAACGAATGGAGAAGAAATTAGAAAGGGTAGACGAAGAATTAAAAAATGTAACCAGAGAAACGGAAGACTCCCTGGTCCATCTAGAAATGGATAAAGCAGCGGCATATCTGAGATTTCAGAACATGGAGGAATCAAAGAATGAAGAATTAGAGCAGCTAATGGCAGGATTATTGGCCGAACTGTTAGAGAAAGAAAAAGATTGATCTACTTAAGGAATTCGACGAGGTGTATAGGGTCTGCACCAGTTATGCAAGACGCCACAACTGTCCGAGAGAGATTCATATCCGTTTTACAAGAAGATGTGTGAGAGATTTAATACTCAGACTGTCTAGAGATGAAACAATAATGTATAAGGGCAAAGAGATCATGATCCTTAAGCAAATCCCGAGAAAAGTGAGGGTCATAAGACAAGATTACAAATTTTTAGCTAATTATTTAAATAAAAAAGGAATTCCATTGAAATGGCTAATCCCGGAAGGGATGCTAATAACATAGAAAGAAAGAAAAATTAAAATAGACTCTATAGAACAGGTACAAGACTTCCATGAACAGTTAACAGGCACGGACGATCAATACACTAA